AAAAAAAAAAAAAAAAAAAGTGAACATTGTTCATAAAAGCAATTTGGATGCGTAACAGAGTCAACATTCATTCCCATCCTGGATGTAAGATTTATAAAATGGCTTGGGTTAAAATTGGAGTTTCCAGGTTTATCACCTGAAGTTGGCTGAGAAAACTTACATTTTAATGATCCTTTTCTGCAGAAGTTTCGGCTTATTGATACTGCTGGAATAAGAAGAAAGGCTGCAGTGGCTTCATCAGGTAGCATACCAGAGGCTTTATCTGTAAATCAAGCATTTCGCGCGATTCGTCGGTCAGATGTTGTGGCTCTTGTTATTGAGGCTATGGCTTGCATCACTGAACAGGTACATTAAGCTGACTTGGAGAAACTATTGTTGTGAGATATGGTGTAGCACAGCAATGAGTGCACGGCATTCCTTAGTAATAGGCAAAAGAGTAGTTCCCTCTGTGCTTATAACATGGCTACGTAAATATTGATATGTTAACTTATATTTGTTTCCTTGCAATTTTTTAGGATTGCAAAATTGCAGAAAGGATAGAGAAAGAAGGGAAGGGTTGCCTCATTGTTGTGAACAAGTGGGACACGATCCCTAACAAGAACCAAGAAACTACTGTGTTTTATGAGGAAGATGTTAGACGGAAGGTTCGTTCTTTGAGTTGGGCACCTATTGTGTATTCAACAGCAATAGCTGGGCACAGTGTTGAAAAGTATGTTCCTTATTCCATCCATCTTCTTAGTTATTACTTCGACTCTCATTTTACAAAATTTATTGCCTTAGTTCAGACAAATCGGTTGCAATTGACTTGGCATTTATATTGAGTATCAGATGTGTAGGTGCATTTGCTTACTAGACCAAAGGGATAAAAGAACAGCATATCATGCCATTCTCGCGGCTGTTATACAACTCAAACTTTGTATTTCTGAGCTTAATGCTCGAAAACAGTAACGGATAACTGAAGGTGTATTAAGAAAGATACATAGTGGGACCTCCTGTGGGTAATAAGAAGCTTAAGAAATTAGGTCCCCTTCTTTTGTAATCCCACTTGAGTATTGTCAATAAAAAGTAGACTATTAGAGACCCAAAACAATGAGAAAATGACTTGTAACTGTGAAGCTATGATAAAGCTTCTACCTGATGATATCCAACTGAATTTGCTCATGCTTACCATCTACAGTTTAAATGGCTTAATGAACTCCTTCCTTCAACTCTCTGTTTCAGTAACATCATAGGAGAGGATGATGAGAAGGCACGTGCAAATTGAACTGATACTGATCCTTCTGATTAATTACTTTGTTCTTTTGTGATGGAGGAATTTTCAGGAAATGTATCTTTAAACCAGAATCAGTGATCACCTTCTCTGACTTCCGAAATGCTTTTCATATTTTCGATAACGATTTAAAACATTTTTTAATTTGTTTGAGGTATATCCTGAAAAAGATCTGTATAATTTCATTTACTAATCATAATGTGGCAATTTGATTCGCTTTTGCTGGATTAAGACAGGATAGAAACATATAAAGTAAAACCAGTCAAGCTGGAACCTGCCTATCCTCCATACAGGAAGAACAATAGGAGGTTTCTGTTTATTATCCATGTGGTGCATTTGTACAATTTGGAATGATTTTTTGAGAAAATTTTTAAATTTTTCGGAAGAGGTTTTGGCTTGCTAGATACTCTGAATCCAATGTTGGTGCAAAATTTGGTTCTGCGACATCCATCAGACTAAGAGATGATTTGATGAGACAGTTGGTTACCAAGGTGAGTCCCCCAGTTTACCTGGAGGTTTCGGCACACAAATAATGGCGCAACTTGATCAGGGTTGCTCCTGAACGAGTTTGGCCGCCGTGCAATGGATTGATGTCATGCTTAGTGCAAATGGACTGCTTGGTATTGTGCTTGATGAGATGCGACTTGTTATGCAAATTTAAGGTGGAGAGTCATGAGATGTTTGGCGGCATATTCTGTTTTGTTGGATTACGACAGGTTAGAAACATATAAGGAAAACTGGTTAAAATGGAACCTGCCTATAATCCAGACAGGAAGAATAAGAGGACATTTCTGTTATATCTATGTGGTGCATTTGGCTTTTGTTACAACGCAAAAATCATTTGGCTCGTACGCTCATGGTTTGCTGAGCACGAAGGGTAGGTATTTCTGTGAATCATCTTCAGCGGATCCCGAGTACACATTTGTTTTTCTTGTTTACTTTTGGGGGCTTGGATAGGACAGGGAGGGATGTAAATGGAGAGCATTTTTTTCTACTGAAGCTTTTGTTTGGTCTCACTGGTGACCTTTTGTGTAATATTATTTCTGTTTAAAATAAAAAAATCTTGATATATTACTGTTATATTCTAGAATCATTGTTGCTGCTGCTGCGGTGGAAAAAGAGAGATCAAGAAGATTGACTACTGCAATATTGAATCAAGTTGTGCGGGAAGCTGTTGCATTTAAAGCACCTCCCAGGACTAGAGGTGGGAAGAGAGGACGTGTTTATTATAGCACTCAGGTAAATTTCATTTGGAAAGATGCATTTACATTTACTATTTTCCACACGAGAAAAACTAGTAATCCCTTTGTATTGTTACTTAGGAGGCAGGAAGGACATAAATTATGTCCGATGTGATACTTTAACTATTGTAAGAGGTTTACTTCCAAGCTGGCTACCCCTCATTCTGTGTCTGTGACATCATTAAAATGGAAAATTGATTTAACAGAAATTGTATTGGCATACATGGCATGGAATGCAAGTGTGTTGTAAAGTTACACTTCAGTGGCTTGAGTTGAGATTCACTAAAACGTAGTAAACTCATGTCCTGCCTTTAATTTACAGGCAGCTATTCGACCACCAACATTTGTCTTCTTTGTTAACGATGCAAAGCTCTTTCCAGAGACATACCGTCGTTACATGGAAAAGCAACTGAGGACGAGTGCAGGGTTTGCAGGCACACCAATTCGGCTTTTGTGGCGCAGCAGGAGAAAAATGGAAAAGAATGATGGTTCGTTTTCATTAACAAATGAAATTTATTTTCATCTTTCGTCATGTATCTGCATTTTCTTCTCTTTTTTCCTTTTCCCTTTTGCTGTTTAATCGCAAAACATGAGTGTGCTATTTATAGTCATTTAAGTTATGCAGCAAATACTCATGTACAATTCTTGCCATGAGTGTGCAAACAGTTGCGCTGCAGGTATTTGAGCCAATGGATGTCTAGTTCCATGTCCTCAATCTTAACCACGGCTAAACATACTGGTTGAAGCACATCCTTACACATGTTAAATTTACCTCATTTAGAACCTAATGGTATATATTCCTCTGATCATTTCATAAATAGCCATAAGATATGTCTCTGGAGATGGCTCATGAAAGGTTTATTAATTCCATTATCATGTCTCGTTACACACATATTTGGTTCCACATTTTTATTTACCCAGTTTTAATTTCTAATTTTATGGGGTTTAGAGAAAATCATCGGGCTAGTGCTTTCATGGTAACGCGCTATATTCTGTATATGACTTGGAAAACTAACACAGTTTTACTCTGTTGGTCTTCAGGCAAGGATGGTCCAACAAAGATGCAAGAGAACTTCAAAGACAGAGAGAAGAAGTTGGCAGTTCCAGCATGAACTTATGGTACTATTGAGCAAATGCAGTTATCTTCTTGATGTCTTCGAGAAATTAAACGTCTATGCAAGATCATCAAGCTGTTACTTCGGAGGCTCATTCTGGAAAAGCTGTCAAGGCTGCCGTTTGAGTTTGATAACTACCATCTATTCTTTATAGGTAAAGCAAGTGTTGAAGAAAGGAAGTGGCACTCACGTCGAGTGATTGCTTGATTTATGACCTGACCATCACTGGTGATAATAACATATGTTTCAGGGCCAAGAGGAATTGCATTCAAGCACTTGCATGTGACCAAAACTTCTGTTAGTTTGTCAACTACATTACAGATGGAATAGAAAGAAACAAGAAATATGAGAAACTCTGTTGTATATATTCACGGTATGGCAGATCTTGCTCGTACGACATATTGTAATAATGTCAAATCAGTTTACATGTGAAATAACATTTATATGGTAATTACATTATGATGTTCCAGCAAGAGACCATTTGTGAACATACGAAGAAAAGTTTAAATTTTCCTTTGGATGGGGAGGCTTTACTATCTTGGTGCAATTCTGTCGAAATGATACCAAGTAGCCACTTGTAACACCCCTATTTAAAACATATCCAATATTCAAAAATTATTTAAAGTTTAGTCCATTTTGGAAAATCTAAGACTGAACCTGCCGCTGCTGCTTTAGTTGGAGTCTGTCAAATTCAGACCTTCGGGTTTGTATAGTCCAACTTCAGACGCATAGGTTGAAATTTGAAAATTTCAGACCCACAATACTTTGTTCTCCTCCATGATACTTAGTCTGACAGACAAGGAGAAATATAGATAGTTTATCTCTTAGTTCTTCAGAAAAGTAGTACTAAGACAAGGTAGCCCGAAGACGTACAAAATTTATCGGTAGTAACAACGGATTGATACCTAATTCTATGAGAGAACTAAGGCTACAATTACACTAAACATAAGAAGAAGCCAAAATGGAAAATTTTCGAAAGGAAAATGCGGAAAGCAGCATTAAGCATGCTAGACTGAGTTGCGGTGTGCATTTTGAAGGCCGGCCAAGTCTTTGTTACCAAAAGATACACACAGAACCCAAAGTCAATCCAAACAGGTACACTATTCTCCGTAATGGTGAAGTCTATACTTGAGAAAGCGATGATGTCCTCTGCCACAAAGACCGGCCCAAGATTGAGCTTGCATGGACAGAAAGGTAAGCATTATTTAGCCTGTGGCAAGAAACAAATATCATTAGGGTGGAAACCATAGAATATGTGAAAAGTAGGTGGGATAATACTGGGTATGTTGTTGTTGTAGGTGGGAGGGTAGAAAGTAAGTTTTTCTTCACGCGCAACTGGTGCTTTAAGTCTAACAAAGCAACTACAGAGATTACAGTACACAAGAAGAAGCTGCAAATGCAATGTTTACCGGTCAACGTCTGGCATAGCCAAAGGATCATGCTGCTCTTCTCTTTGTTCAATAACTGGAGTAGCACCAGTCATGGTAGCCAAATCTTGAGCACCTTCAGCCTACACCAGAAGGATTGACAGCATATGTCAAAAGATAAACACGAACTATACACATTCTTCATTTAAATATGACACAGTTAAAAGAGGAGATACAATTTATAGTCTGAAACAGGATATTATGAAAGGAAAAGAAAGTTAACAACATAGATATCACATGTACAGCCTGCTCAAACTAATGAGTTATCATCAACTACTACATAATGTTCGGTAATGAAAGAGATACCGATCATCAGGTAAGAGAATTGTCCCAGAGGAGAAATACATGGAGGGCACTTTCCACCCCTTAACATTCACCAAGCAAAAATATTAAAATAAAAATAAAAAAAGAAATCAAGAACCAGGCCACAGCAGAAGTTATGAAGCTGATGAGAGATCAGAAAAAGGTGCAAAACTTTGAATTTCTTGAACAAAGCATTTAAGGTAATGGCGTAAGATGGATTTCTCAATAAAATCACATTTTTCCTGATTCTGTGCTGAACAGATCCTTGAATATTCTAGACAAAGCATTAAAGGTAAATGGCGTAAGACATGGATTTCTCAATAAAATCATATTTTTCTGATTCTATGCTGAACAGCCTTGAAAAACCGGTCTGTGTATAACAAGGAGCTCTTAAACTGAGTTAGCTTCCTTCCAGCTCATTACTAGCAGTCTGTTCAGCAAAATGAGGAAACCTAAACAAAAGGGAAGCAATATTCTGGTACTCCCGGACACAAATATGAAGAGTGACAGACTATGAAAATTTTAATTTGATGCTTAATAGTTATGGCCAAGAGATTTGAATCTATTTTACTGACTGCGATTATCTTATCAGTTGTTCCAGCATGCAAAAAAATATTGATAGATAAGTTCATGAAGTAGCTTAATCTTTTAGCTTCTCATCAAAAACAGTAATTGCACAGAAAGGAATTGGCCTGAATATGAAAAATAACCAAAATCTTGCCTGTTGAGGGTATTGCGCATAACCAGCATATGCACCATATGCATATAGCGAAGGATCCTGGGTGGCTCCATAAGCGTAGGCATCATAACCTTGTCCATAGCCATAATAAGCATTCCACTGACTCGGATCAGCAGGCTGACTCCATACACCAGCGTCCTGCAAGATAGCGCCATATTTGATCAGATGCTAAACAATTAATAACTCGTGGAATATAAGCAATTCAGATCTATAGTTGATAGTCCAGCTTGCTGAATAACAGTTTGCATCTTGCATGTACACACGTAACATAAATGTCTATAATGAACAGATCCATACATAGAACACAATATTTTACTATGTTTGTTTTAAATATTGACCGCTTATCTTGAATGGACAACTTTTTCAGAGCCTGATAACGAATTTGTTCCAATCACTGGCTACATTTAACCCGATGGTTCTTACTTTTGTTTTCAATGGCTTGTTAATGAAGAATCTTACCAATATTAAATAATTTTATGACATGGATAACCTCTTCATGACACTTGCATAAGATCCTAAAGACTGCACTTTGTGGCTAAAAATAAAAATCTACAGGATTATTTTCACCTGCTTAATGGTCGGACTCCTGCAACAATTTCATGACATGAATAACTTCTTCGTGACACCTTCCTAAGATCTTAAAGAAAAAGTTCGTGGCTAACAATAAAAGTCTACAAGGATAATCTTCACCTGCTTAGCTGTTGGACTCCTACCCCATGAAACACGAACAACTTGTTGACCAACCAAAGCACCCTGCATCCTCTGGATTGCTTCTTCAGCAGATGACCTGTATAGTGAATATTAAGGGACAAAACTTGAAAACAGAGAAAAAATGCTAGGAATAAGTAAAAGATCAATATCGCTATGATTTGACATTTTTGTGTCTTACAATCAACTGTAATAGGCAACTATCACACATCAACTTAGGCAGACAGATACACTTATTTCCCACCCCCACCCCACCCCACACGGTTTGATATAAAAGTGAAAATTCATGAAGACAGATACCTGGCAGTAAACTGCACAAAACCACAGCCCTTGGAAGCAGGGATCTTAACATAAACAATTTCCCCAAACTGCAAAAAAACTTGTCTCAGTTCCTCCTCAGTTAAGTTGGGGTCCAGATTACCAACATAAACCTGCAGTTAAGCAAAGACGGTCAGAAGAGAAGTGGAAATATGAGGTAACACATTCCAAGTTCTTAACTTACTGTTGTATTAGTCAAGTCATTATCTACAGGAATAGTCTGCACTGTAGGAGGATAAACAGCAGGCGGATAAACAGCTGCATCAAAATAAAAATTCACTGTTTAGTGTACTGGAACAGAAAGTAAATCAAAAGATTACTGCATTTATAAGCTACACGAATCTTCCAAGCAATGATTTGCGTGACCACCAAGAAATTTAATGTTCTTTCTCAGATAATTATTGTTCTCTTCAGTTATCAAAGGTGCATCAGCAAGAAAAATGAAAAGATTTGGGAACTGTTCCTGCAAGAATTTTATGAGTTGTGTAATCTGAAACTTGTAGACGAGGTTGATACTCTAATAGAATTCCATTGAACATTACAGGTTTAAGTTATGAACTGTATTCTCATATTGCATAGTCATTGGAATTCGAGGTTAGCTCACACATAGTGAGCACTTCATGC